CCATCTACTGTCAACCCTTCGCACATATTCTTCCCCTACCAAGTTGCCACGAATTATTCGTCACCCCTGAAAATCCAACACCCTTTCCCATCCTCCTTTGGCGAGAAAGAGCTTCGCTCTTGCGCAATTGTCTAGATAGTCTAGCCAGTGTCACGTCCTTCTAATGGCACAACGAGAACTTCCTTGTCAGTGGAATAGTCTCGCGTAGATAAGGAACGAAGTGTTTTCCTGTTAGTAACGGATGGAGAAGATTTGTCTTTATCTCACGCGCTCGGAAACGTCAAGTAAGGTTTCTGTTTGGGGAGAAAAATCGCATCGTTCCATGCCGGATAATCGCAAGGATCGCGAAAGAGTGTGTGTGTATGTGTATTACTCCTGAGAGACGGTACTTTCTTAGCAGAGCTACGTGAAAAGGGTCAGGTGCAATCGCATCTTTTCTTTCTACGAGTAAGCAATGGAAGCTAGTTGCTTTAGAGAGGCGGATCCGAACAAAACAGTTCGGAGAGTAAAGGAGTTTTTGCACCATTAGCTTTCGTATCGAGAAAATATTTGTTGTTTCGATCATGATAGACGCAGTTGGATTACACTTTTTTCATTAAAGTTATTTGAACTTATAGGAAATTAGAAAAGTACAGCAATCGGTGAAATAATTCTACATCCTGCGAGTTTCTCGATTTAATCATTCTTTGATAAATTTTACATTTATCTTCTAAAATAATGTGTCAAATTAATCGTACAAACTTTCTTCTGTCACGTTTATAAAGTCAACAAACATCACACCTCGATTCTTCGCAAACTATCTTTGGAAAATATTTTATCACCTTTCGACACCTATCGACACCTATCGACACCCAGAAACAAAAAGAATCATATCTTCCAGCTGACAAAAGTATCAGCACCTCAGATAAAACAATCGCAAATGGATCGACCTACAAATTTTCACATCGAGTTGCTGCTGAGAGCTTTCTCGGATATTTTCGAGAGCAGACAATGACGTGCCTTTTATGGTCGCCGAACAGATTCCATCATAGTCCCTTGCACAGTTTCTCTCTTTCTCTCTCTCTCTCCATCCTTAAACTAACTCTCGAACGAAGACTAGGATCTCCCAGGATAACTTTCCATCCACTCGATTCTGAAGTCGAGGCTCTCGACTGCACCCATGGGATATCTCCATCCTCTCCCCATCGGGAGATTTTCTTCGCGGGATTAAATCTTAACAGCCTTTAATTACATAAATAAAGAGAAAAAAGTTCTGAGGAAAAGAAGAAACAATGGATATTTTTACCAACAATAAAAACGAACCTTATTCATTGTTTCAGATATTTTCCTCGTGAGGGACAGCGAGAAAGAGAGCAACATGGACCATTGACATCACCTTCGTCTTCAAATCGCGAATATTCAGACGTCAATATCGCAAAAGAACGAGAACGTGGATCGCGGTGCACTTTACCCTCGTCGCACTGCACCGCACTGCAGTGCTGTAACTCACACGTGTTTCGCTCTTAAAGGCGCCGCGAGGCAAAGAGCGGAGGTCGAAGTTGGGGCGATTAAACGGTCGCACTTCGCAGCCACCCCTTTCCCTCACGCGCGCGCGACACCCCCGCTGGCGAACAAACGCGATACCAAACTCCCCCAATTCGCGTAGCTCTTGAGCAAAGGGAGAAAAAAACTTCGCTTCGCGCGAGGAAGAAATGACCCGACTCGGATCATTAAACTCGGAAATTAAGACACTCCGCCCGTGAGCGTTGTCAAATTATGACGATTCGAAGTTTGGGAAGCCCTGCGAAACTATATATGTGCCGTGGGAACGAAACTTTCATTAAGATCCGTCGTTGCTTGTCAGATCAGAAGCAATCGATTGTATCAATATTATAATAAATTTTATAGTACAATGATTGATATGTATATATAATAACATCATAGATAAATTAACGTCATAAGTATGATTTATAAATTAGATAAAGGAATATTTATATATATAATATTGATTTTTTAATAATAATAATACTGATTTCTCTGATAACATTTTTCTGCGAAAGATGAACATAAAGCGAGAAAGAAAAAGATAAAATAAGTACGTTAGAGAAATCTTTAAAGAACAATTATAATAGAATCGCCATTCAATTAAATTGTATTCTAGAATCAAATATCTTCGTTATTTCTTAAAATTATAAAATATAGTTCTAATAAAATAATTTAAATAATTTATTTTAATTATTTTAATTATTTTATTAGGACTATATTTTATTTATTTATTTAAAAATAATTTATTTATTAATAATTAAATAGAAGCTAATAATAAATATGTAAAATACAAAAAAATTATAGCTATTAATTTCATACTTATAAATAATATTTAATTAATAAATATATAAATATTCCCTCGTGTATTAATATTTACTTAACGACTAATAAATATAATTTAAATTCAATTGCATGATTTATACTATTTTAAATAATGCTAATATCGCGCAGATAAGTATCTGCTTAAGAATTAAATAATGAAAGCATAACGCAATCGAGTTACGCGTGTGTTTTCTCGACTCACGAAGGTATGACGAAGAAACTGCTTAACTTTCTAGCGTCCCGATCACCGGAAGCGCGATATTGTAATGGGAACGTATGGCCACGCGTTGTTTCCGCCCGCGAATTCTTCTCCATCGTCGGCAAATCATCGAATCACGTAGGCAGACTCGCACACCATTTCTGCAATGTCCGTACGTGATAATTCATTCATTCCCGTCGCCTGGATGTAGCATCTCCTCGTCGAGCTTTTCCGCGCGAGGTCACGAGCCCCGCGTAATAACCCCGCGTGGAGAGGAGTCGCTTTTAGAAATTGCCGGGAGAAATTTACGGAGAAATTGCGACGGGACTCTTATACGTGGGGTTCGCGATGCGCCGACCTATGCCGCTCCGAATCCTATCGACGAAAGGAATCTTCTGGCTCGAATTACAACCGTGCGATTACACCGGTGAGATATATTGCCGTGAGAAAGTAGACGAATAGCATTACATCCCGCATTAGCGACGATAATACGTGCCAACAATCTAACAATAAGACGTAACAAATAATAGTGTGTTTTGATAATTGTTTCATAATAACGTTTTTTTTTAACGATATCCGCATGTACTTGACAGAATTAATCGTTAAATATTACACGTTGATTATATTCAATGAAAAAAATACAAATAAATTATTTATGAGTGTGGGTAATTGTAGAATATTTTAGGTTTTAAAATTATACGCTGGTATAATAACGCATATGTAATTATGTAAATTACATTATTATCACTATTTTATATAAGTGACACGAGATATTCGAAACGAGCAATGTTTATCGAAGTGAGGAATTTTAGAAAAAGAGACGTTTGAGAAGTGTAGAAAAATTAAAAAACTAAAAAATAAAAAAAAAAACATTTTAAAAAAATCATCAAGCTTAAATTTAAACATCTTTCAAAGGCCATCTTCCGATGTCATATTTCGCATATATTAAGAGAGATATTCGGCGCTTCAAACATTGTTCAAAGAGAGAATAAGAATTTTTAAATCCTGCAACGTGTACCTAAATCCCCCTAAATTCAAATCTTCCGGCGCGCAAATATTTGGACGATTCCAATCTCCGCGTGCCAAATTACGAAGCGTGCCCGCCAAACGTCACATGCCGAATACGCCGAAACGTGATCGTGTTTGTCGAAATGCCCGTAATCCGGATCTTTCAATTTTACAAATACCCGAAATCATATCCCCGAAGTCATTCCCTCGCGACCGAGCATCATCGAAGAATTTCATCTCGCGATGCGTCACGCGTACCCTTGAATTACGCAGTCGTCTAATCAATCCCTTTTCGAAATCAAGAGCGAGATTCGTACCTTTGACTCCATCGAACGTCATCCCCCATCGGTTTCAGCCTGCTGACGTCACTACCGGGGACAGATTCACAATTTTCTTACTTTTCACAATGCGAGTCCCGCCACTCGATTCTTACAATCGCGTCGTTCGCACTTGCGTCTACTCGCGATCACGCTCGCGATATTCGGATACGAGCGGACGCGAACGGAAAGAACCAACCGCGCGCGACGGTAGCTCGAGCGAGACTGAGCGCTGCCGGCTACCGCGACGACGACGAAGGGGGTGGGCGAGCGACAGGGCCGTAGGGAAAGGGCGCCTCTTCTCTGACATCTGCGTCGTTCGTACGATCCCAGAGGAGCGTCGACACCGAGGGAATGTTCTGTCTGCGAATTACCGAATTTTTACCTGGAAACCTCCGAAATAGAGGGACCCGAATGTCCCTCGCTCCTTCGGGAGTCACGTGCTTCGAACGAGGTTGAATTCCACGGAAAGTTGCCGTTCGTGTTCTCAGCTCCAACCGCATTTGGAGAATCTCGCGATAAGAGTGAAATAATGTTTATGTCTTCCAGGGGATTATGCATTCCAAAGTTTCGAAGCGTCCAGCTTTCCCTCCCAATATTGTGGAAGAAGGAAGCGATATAGACATTTCGAAAATAATTAATAATTGGAAAGAGTAAAATGCATAATATAGAAATAAAAAATTAATTTTCTCTCTCTTTTTCTATTTCCTAAACAATATTTAATTATTTAACGAATATTTCCTCACTTAACAAATATTATTTTTTAAAACGGCCCAATATATTCAGATAAGTTTTATTTAAATTATATTAAATTATATTAAAATTTATTAAATTATATTAAATTAAAATTTATTAAATTATATTAAATTATACTAAAACATTTTTTAAAGCAATAGATTTCGAAAATTATTGAAAGCAACATAACGTGAAACATATATACCCTTTTCAATTACTCAAAATTTTCTCTTATATCCCCTTTATTCTCGCTGACAATAAATGCAAAAAACAAACAAGCGGCAAATTTTGGATCGCCCACGCGATTTTTTTCACACGGTCATGTTACCATCGTTCAAAGTCTGTTTGAATGACGCATGTGTACGTAATCGCCGTTAAATTTGAAAAAAACATACCATAAAATCCGCCCTTGCTCCTACGCGCGATGCCACTTTACGTCGAAGGGATCATCCGGGGACTCTAGCCCTCGGCCAACTGGTATATCGTCCTTCGGAGGGTGGCACTCTTGCTGTGCACTCGATTAGCATACGGCCGGTCGGATTGCGTTGGCGATGTCTCGATGAAGCGGAAAATCAGGGCTCCAAGTAACGGCCCTCAGGCGCGTCCTCCGATGAGCTCGAGAGATTTAAAACTCTGCGCAAAGCATTTAAATAGCATTTCGAGAGGATTTCGTTAAATTTATAATTTATCATTATTATTAATTTATAATTTATAATCGAGACATTGAGACTGTTATAATCTTCACGTTTTCAATTATAATTATGTTAAACGTGATGGTATTTTATTCTGATCTGTCATATATATGTTTACCAAAAGCGAGTGCAATTTTATCTATTACATTTTATTATTTTAATTATATAAATATTTAATTATAAATTTTACTTATAATATAAGGATTTTAAAATATTTATTAATTTTTCGTTCCAATCGATAGATAATTAATTTTATAAACACTGAGATAACTTTTATACTCTCATAATGACTTTCAATTGCTGATCTAATTCAGAGTCGAGTACATTATTGTGCATCCCGTCAAAGTGTATTATGATCAAAACGCAATGCGCCAGGAATTCCTGTGCAGTGCATTAATTATATTCATCGTTATATTGGCAATTCATTGCCATGCGAATTATTCAACCGATCAATATGTGCAAATGATGCGTATTAACGTATAGATAAACACTTTTAGAGCACTTTCATATCGAAGAAAAGCATCTATATGTCTTTTTCTCTTCTCGATGTAATATTCCTCTAATGTACTAAACTTGTAATTTAATATTAACAATGATTTATGAGGCATAATAATCATTTTTCGCATTAATATTTCCAATTTTATCACGACACGATAATATCTTTATATGAGAACTATAATTAAATGTTTGACCGAGTCGATCGTGCAATAAGAGATTAATGGGCGATAATTGACGGTTTGACACGCGAGAGGAGAAATCGTGCCAGATATGAATATCTTTTACCGCGCCTGTCTATATGATCGTCCTGTAGAAAATAGAGATAAAGCGCGCCTACCTTGGCAGTCACAGCAGCATCATTTCTGAAATTGATCCTGATTGATCGATCGTTAATTTTTTATCTAATAACGAAGAGTGACGCGACCGATAATGGACTCGGGCTAGTTGAAGCGGCACGACGCATTATCCAAGGTAATATTCGCTAAAGTAATTACGCTTTCGTCAGAAATTCGACGTAATATTATCGCGAGTTTCGTTGTAATTCACTTAAATGATTAAAAATGATTAAGCTTTTACACGCGTGTACTCTTCGGTGTAAAAATTTATCTTACTTAAAAATTGCAACTCTCTTCCCGAGTTACCTCGAATTGTTAAAAATTACATTAAATCAGAAATCAGGTTACACAAATTTTAATGGCGATCCACATTTGCTACAAATTCTATAAAAGACGTTATTTGATAAATTATTTAATTATCCGAACATGTATATTGAACGACCTACATTACTCTCATGAATCGATGCAAATTTATAATGTACAAGTTTTATACGCGCGCAATCATTTCTCGTGTAATAACCTCGCATGACGTAAAAAAAATTTAATTATCTAACAGAAATACCCATCAAACTTTTATCGCACTCTATTTATCAAGTACGTAACGATGGATTTGTAACAATAGCATTACGTAAACTGGCTTAATATCCAAACAGTACGATGCAATTTATTTCACCATACACGCTATTATTCAGCGTTCTTTCTCCAACGGTCAGCATTTGTCTGCATAAAAACTCTACTTTTCAACGTAAAAAAAATCTACCTTCATGAAACAACTTTTATGAGAATCGTAAAGCTGAGGTGGGTGTAATGCCGGAAGGCTACGTTAGAAACACGTTTATGCTTAAAAAACGATATTAGTCGAAATAAAAAAGAAAATCGCTAAAAACAAGAGAGAATTTGCATGATACATGTACGCGAATGATTTCCGTTTTTACTCAACGAAGCGAATATTTAAAAAAAAATTTCCCGTAATCTCGACATGACATAAAGACCAAAGGATAAAAACCTTTATTTTAAATCTTACATTATATTTTTATGGAAAAATAGTTTACGCATCGTGTGCATTTGTTTGACAAAGAACAGTTAATGTTTTAGAGTTCAAATATCAGAATCCTGCCGCGATAAATCGAATCTGCCGCAATTTGGGGAGGGTCTGCCGGCAACATGCAAGTTTGGTCGAGCAAACGAGAGAGCGTGCGTATCCGCAGACGTCGTAAAATTGATATTTATCCTGGCTGGCGTCCAGTGCGGAAGCTGCGCCAGCTTTTCCGCGGATAATGCGTCGCGACGTGATTATATAGTTTCGGAAACCGCCGACGCCGGTTTTTTCCGCGTTCTTTTCGCAGCCGCTAATCAAGAGGAGACGTAAAGAGGTCGGCAACTTTGAAACTCAAAAAAAATTATGTCGAAAAAAATGATAAATACCTTTTTCTCTGCGATAAAACATTCATCGCGATCGATCGATACTTCTTTCGCATACGAAATATGCATAAAAGAGTAAGAAGCAAGCATAGGGTGCTTCGAAATTAAGTCTCTGATTCTGTCTATATCGAATATATACAAAAAGCTACAAAGTATCTTTGTTATAGAAACCATTAAATTAGTATTTTAGTTCGATATACAAGTATTTTTCCAGGCATCTTAGCAACGGGCAACATTCTGTCGCTACGTCGTTATTAAAGAGAGCGGAGTATTATCGCGATTTACGGGCGGCTTCTCACGAGTCACGTCTTCGCCCTCGGCCGTATCCTGGGATTATTGGATGTCGCCGGAGTATTCGATATCGCCGCGTGTGCGCTTTACTTCCGTAAAGTGTAGGCGGTAATCCCGGATGGACGCTTCTTATCGGTCCATCTCTCGATTTCTTCCGCGATAACGGAATAATCTGGCATAGGCGGATCTCTTTTCCGATCAAAGAAAATATTTCTGAACGATCGGGCGTATCGTGTACAGGAAATGTCGATAACCGGCGATTTTACCAAAGTCGACGCATCTAAACGATCTAATTCTCGATTTATGAACGGTCCATCAATTTTCGCGGATATTTCACATCCATACACATTTTCTCACAATGGAAAATCATATGGGCATATGTAAAGCGTGACGTTTCTATTAAATATTAAACGAGAATAATTAAATGCAAATTGTGCTTGTACAAGCATATCATGCTCTACTATGTAAAATGTAAACAATGGAATATTCAGACATATATTTTTAATTATTAATATCGAAAAATAAAGTATATCATACGATAAAAGATGAAACTGAAATTAAATTATTCTTTCTTACGTATGATTGAAGCATAATTCAAAATTCTCCGGATCAATAAATTAAAAAAAAATTAATTAATTAAATTTATAAATTGCTAAACTTTACGCGAGGATTTTACATCGAGATATCTTATGAAATCGATAGAATAAAAAAAGCGCGTGTCCTCCGCAACGATTCGCTCCATCGACCACGCTTTCTTGCGAATTATCCATGACCAGATTCGGCCAATTTGTAACCGCGAAGGACGCGAAAACCGGAAATACCTGATGTCATTTACAGCATTACGACGGCGGCACACCCACGATGCGCAATTCTGCGACGCAGAAAAAAAGAAAAAGAAAAGACTGTTCGCGAAAGCACGGAATAACGCGACGAGATTTTGACGACGTCGTAATTCAATGGGTTCTGTAACGCAAAATTTCTCGTTTCATAGCCAATATTCAGAAGAAATTGTACGCTGCGGGAAGTTGAAACATTTTTCAAATTTCAAAGAAAAAATCAAATATATTTCTGGATATAAAAAATAACCCGATAAAAAAGATATTTACAAAATTAAATCTACCGAATTTAGCATATTTATGCGTTTTTAATACAATTATAATCCATCTGTTATTGTAGAATTATCATGTCTGTAAGTATATCTTTAAAATCCTTGTACATGTAAACTTTTTTTTTCTTTGATTTTATTTAATTTTAAAATAGAAAATTATCTTCTATTTTATGTGCGATCAAATATGTACAAGTTATCCTATAGTTCGAACGGAATACTAAACCTTGAATGTCGAACAGCTTTGTGAATATTTTATCTTTTATCGAGGAACCATCAGCGAAGAGCGATAAAGTATCGAGGTCGACTTCCGACGTTTAGGACGAAGCATGGGGTGGCGGTAACTGGAGCAGGACTTCCGCGCTGGAAATCAAAATCGACGGCGGGTAGACCTATTTTTCTTATTCACCTTATATTGCTTGTAACGCATGTGTGCACGTCAGAGTTAAAATTCATAGAGTAATCATTTCCGTAATATTTTGCATTATTTCCTCGCATCGACATTTAAATTAAATTAAATTAAATTCATGGAATTATTAACTCACGTATGTTTCAAGCATTCGTAAAAGTACTTAAGAAATCATCGCGAACCGCGATATTTCGCATCTTTGCTTTGACAGTGTGTAAAAATAGAAGGGATCACTCAAGGTATAATACATGTTCGAATACAATGACAGGAGATGCAACGCCGGTACAGCAATCGCTCTCGGTCGGAAGAGTCTCGTCGCGGCGGTGACGGCGAATTTCACGGTTAATCGAACCGCTTTCCTTCCACAGTTTACACCGGTGGTCTCTCCTTTCGATTTCGGGCGCACGTGTGAACGCGCGTACGCGACGCCCGGAACAATGTATGATTCATTTCACGGCTCGTTAGAGAGAACCGCGCGAGCGCGGACTCCACGCTTCGCCGAGCGCACCGGAAGAGAGAGCGCACAAAAATGCCGCCCTCTATAGAAGAGGAGAGCTTTTCGTGCCTTCCGCACGAACTGCGTATCGTCGCGATCGCAAAGAGTTACATCTCCGAAGCGCAAGTTTTTTTTTTTACGGACGATTTAGCGATCAATCGAGTAACCCGGTTCGGTGGATTCGGACATGTCAATATGTATCCAATCTCTTCTCAACTGACTCAACTACTATTTGCGTGTGTAAACTAAATGTTACACAACGTTAAATACTTGCATTTTGTTCTTCTTGCGAAAGTTTTCTTTTTTCTAAATGCCCTTAAATTCTCAGAATTTCATTTCACCAAGAGGGTCGCACGACACGTGATATCATATGTGTTATTCACCG